TTTGGGGGGGGGGGGGGGGGCGCGAAAAATGTCGTTTTTGCATACGGCTCTTTGGAGGATTTTTTGAATAAAAAAGACTTGATTTTTGTGGGTCTTGAGGCGATCAAAGGTGTGATTAGGCTAATAATTTAAGACGGTTTTTTGACGGCTTTTCTCCCCTTCTTCCTTCATAAAGTGGGTCTTTTAAAAGGAAAATCACCCGTATAAAAAGTATTTTGCTTCGCTTCTTTAAAATATTGAGGATTTGCTTGAGGAAAGCTGCGCATTTTTGAGCATTTGAATAAACAAGCTACTACTCTGAACTAATTGCTGCGATTAAATTAAATTAAAAACTAACAGACAAATTAGAAGCTCTAAACTCGATTTTAACCTTTGGACGAATGTTTTTAAGTTGAAAATATACCAAAAAAGTATTATACCTTTATATACACTTCATTTTTACTTTCTCGCTCCCCTAGGGTAGAGAGGAAGTATTGTCATCCTCTAAGAAAAAAAAAAAAGTTGAGATTTCATCATTTCTAGACGTTTTAAGGTCCCAGGAGTCAAAATAACCATACTTGAAAAATGTGTGTCCGTCCGTCAGCTGTCCCCCAAATCTGTGTACAGCGAATTCTCAGAATCTATCTGTTCGATTTCATTCAAAATTGGCACAGAACACCATTTCTATGGTCTCCTTATGCACGTCAAACGATTTAGGGGTACGCTAAAATTTGGGGGGGCTGGGGTCAAATTGGGTTAAAGGTCCATTTTCAGCAAAATCACACGGAAAGCTCATTTTGAGGGACTGTAAATTTTGAAAAATGCCTTTAATTCTTTAACAGCGGGCATCAAGCATATCACCTGAGTCATTAATTTAAGTTCCTACAAGATCTTTAGACTAAACTCAAAATTCAAGGGATTACGAGCCCCAAATGTAGGGCACTTTGCTCCGTGACATCACAAACAGCTCATTTTCAATGACTGTAAATTTTAGAAAAAATGCCTTTAATTCTTCGAAAGTTAGCATAAGAGCACCACCTGGTTCATTAATTTAAGTTGCTGTGAGGTCTTTGGACTAAACTAAAAATTGAAGGGTTACGCGTCATATAGCGAGGAGAGCACTTCGGTCACACGGAGAGCTCATGGACGGTAGATTTTGAAAAAATGCCTTTAATTCTTTGAAAGTTGGCTCAAAAGCACCACCTGAGTCATTAATTTAAGTACCTATAGGAGCTTTGGACTAATCTCATAATTGCAGAGGGGCCGATAGGAAACGCTCAATTCTCCGATAGATGAGTCGAAACGTTTCAGGATATTAGCAGCAAACGCTTTGAGTCAGGTGAAACCTAGGAATTCAAATGCATTATATAATGCATCATATACTATCTTCAAAATTACTCCGTAGGTATACACCAAGCTAAATTAGACAACTAATTAGGTACTTACATTACATACTTTGCGAATCATCGAAGCTAACGGAAGAACTGACACTTAGATCTTTATAAGAAACTAATTTGTTTGTTGTTAATGAATTTAGAATTCCAGCAGATTCCATCTTTCGCGGTTCCTTTTTACGAGGTACTGAACAAGAATATAATATAATAAAACAGCACAGACATGGTTGATTCAATGATATGCGCGTTATAAATTGGTTATAACCCGTTTAGGTATGTTGACGTTTGTTCTTGTTGTTGTGTAAAGACACAGTGATACGAACAGCAAGGAGGTGGCGCTATCCATTGTTTTCGTTTCGAATTACGGGGATACGCGCTAAGGAAGTGGCGCTCTTGGCGGGCGGGTGGTGAACCATTACCAGCAAGTAGATTCGGCCGCCAAATTTAAAATTTGGGCGATGCTAAGCGAAAACCGTTGAGTTTTAAGACTATTTAAACATCGAATAGTCACTCTACCCATTAAAGTAGATTTTTGATGGCTTTTGCCCGTGCTTAAGGAAAGATTATAATATATAATCGTATCTGGAGTATGATGCCAATAAATCTAATGGATCCTAATGAATCGTAGAAAAGCTAAGATTTTTACGGATCGCCGTCTTTTTTCATGTTTTCTTTGAATAAATAAAAAAAAAAAAAAAAAAAAAAAAAANAAAAAAAAAAAAAAAAAAAAA